CAGCAGCATTCCCTGTCAAGGTGGTGGCTCAGGAGCTCAGACAGACAGACAGCCTGAACTCAGCACCCAGCGTAAGGGCTCACAGGAACAGGCTCTGAACAGGAGTAAAGCACTGTCTCCATGCACAACACGGTTGCTGAGACATCCTGGCTTAGAAAAAGGTGAAAAAAAGAAATGTTTGGTCAATAATTCTTGTCTGTTGTAAAAGCCTGGAGGATTTGTACTTTTTTTTTTCCCCTTGAGAAATAGAATGAACTAATAGGATCAGGGATTTGGGCAGTAAGGCACCTGGCATAGTCCAAATATTCCCATACAGGAGCTGGGCTTTAGTTATCATTCTTCATAAGTGAGCACCAGTAATTCTACTGGATACCAACCAGGTGGTGAAGGAGAGTCCGTGACTTAGATGCCTCCCTGGGCAGGATAATCCACAGCAAGATTCAGGTAATAAAGCAGCAACCTGATGTGCACACCAGGGCGACACACCAGCACAGCAGGAGGGGGTCTTTAAACAGGGCTTGAAGCAGCAGAACTGACTGAAATGGGAGAAGAAACTCCATGGGCACAACCAGGGCGAGAGCCCCACACAGATGCTCTCCAACCTCCCGGCACATTCAGCACCATTTCCCCCTGAAATCTTCTCCCCAGACAGTTTACACTACAATTTAGTCAATACAAAACAAAAAAAAAAAAAAGAAAAAAAGCAAAGTGAGCTATTATCTTGTGGTAATAAGTCCCACAAGTTAACAAAACATCACCAATTACAGCAATCTGTCTAGGCGTGTTTAATGCTTTTCCATTTCACTGACTCGTTTCTTGCTCTGGTGTCGTGGGAGGAAGGGAAAAACAGAAACACCCAGAAGGCCCCTGCTATAACCTGCCCTCTGAGAATTTCTTCTCTTGATCTTCTCAGCACTACTTATCTCTCAAAACACTTTTTAAATGGAAATCAAGCTATGCCTTCCCTAATTTCATCATCATTCTCTGGACTTCTCTGATTAGGTAAACAGGGCTCAGCATTGTTCACAGCAGCAGAGCTGGCTGCATATCAATGGGAACAGGTGAAAAGAGACACCAGCATCTAAGATAAGGATTTTTTTTTTCTTGGGAAAACCTCTACAGAAAACAGAGTATTTTATTTTAGCTATTTTCTTTGCAGTGAGAGCTAGATGGAAAAAAAAAAAAGTATCCCAGGTTCCCAAGGTAGCATTTTACATTAAAGAGCAGAACAGATACTGAATGCAAATAAACCAAGAAAAATTCTGAGCAATGCACGAGGAGGCACTGTGACTGAGTCTCCAGGGGGTTAGAAATACCTTCCACTTCCACGGCACATCTCAGCCTTCACATGAAAGAGTCACTTTCCCCAGTAACCATCGCCTTTGCAGAAAGGTCAGCCGTGTAGGCAAGAAAAGCATTTCTCATTTATTTCACTACTGAAGGTGAAGAAGCCCCCAGAAATCCACAGAATTTCAGCCTGATCTCATACAGATGGGTCTTCCTTCTGCTGTAGTGCCACGGAAGCCATCTTTGATCTTTAAATCCTTAAGTGCTCTAAAACCACTTCAGTCCCTTTTCCTCCCTGAGCTGCTTTTCACTCCCAGCAGTTAGAGAGACAGAGCACCAGGACAGAACAAGTGCCATGACTGCTGGACAGGCAGAACTGCAGCATCCCTGTGTCCCACAGAAGGGCAGGATCAGAAACACTCTGTTCCCATCCCGCTGGCACAGAGGATCTTGCCTGGTTTTGCAGCAACAGCAAAACCCTGAATAGCCTCAGCAATAAGGTGAACAGTCCTCAGTGTCTGCAGCTTCATTACCCTGTTTTACACAGCCACCAGCCTTGAGCACAGATAAAAACCACACATTTACTCACTTAAAAATGTATAATTTGCATGCAGCCTCAAGCTCCCCAGCACGCAGAAACACAGTCTAATCAGCCAATGCTCATCCACCCATGTTAAGCCCCAATAGCTGTGTGGTGCCATTGGAGGACTCAGCATCATCACAAGGCTGGCTAATTAAGAGCATCTGGGGACAGAGGGGTCCATTTTGGCAGGAGGTGTCCCCAAGCATAAAAGCTTGAACTAGCAGCTGGGTGACATGAATAGTCATGTCAGCACTGAAAAGGCAGAGGAACCACTGTCCACAAATGATGGATTTTACAACAAGAGGCTGTGCTGGGCTTTCAGCTGCAGCATCTCTTCTGGGAGGAACCAGGAGCACCACGGGGAGCAGCAGCTCTGGACTGCAGGCCCTGCCACGCTTCTCACCCAGCTTCAGGGGCTCCTTTCCTGGGGTTGTTGGTTATGGCACCTTGGAGCTGCAGCTCCCAGAGTCTCAAGGTCCTCAAGCCAGCCCCATTTGTCCAGCAGAGCCCAGAGGGGACTCCAGAACCCCTAGGCCAGCTCATACAGCAGCCGCAGGGAGCTGGGGAGCTCTGAGCAGTCACCACACGGCCATTGGGAAAGTGCCCTTCAACTGCCCCTCACACCTCCTTTGTATAAACGTTCACTATTTCCATCTCTTTACACGAACCACACTTTCAACCACTCCTAGTGATTCAAAAGAAGCCTTGAACTTGCATGATCCAGAAGTGGAGGAGCTTGGCACAGCACGGCGTGCTGCGGGGTACCCCGGATCAGAGGGAGGGTACCTGTGGGCCACTGCAAGCCAGATGGCAACCCCCCGGCCTCTAGTTCTGCTGCAGTTACCTCTGTGCCCTCCATCTCTTCTAGGCATGGTATTTACTACAAGAGACAGAACCGTCACAGAATACTCGCCGGGCTCCACAGACATGGTCTGTATGTGAAAAAAGCTCCCCACTTTGGCCTGCCTGAAGTACTGAGTTAGCACTGGCCAATTAGTCCTCAATGGTGCTCCAGCTGCATCTTTACATTGCAGAAAGGGTGCCCCTAAGTGGGAGCCAAGTCAGAACATGCCACAGACACCCACGATGCTGCAGTGCCACTACGTTCAGAGCCAGCCTGAGAAAAAGGGACACCTCCACCCCTAGAGTTGGCCAGTGCTTGTAGCAAAGGACTAGCAAGAGGGGGCAGGCAGAGCCCAGGGTCTCTGGGACAGACCACCTCTCTTCCCCTGTGCTTCTGCAGCACCTACTGCAAAGGGAAACTGGTCTCACCTTCAAAGGACAGCCATAGCTGCACCAGCAGGATCCACTATTTATGGAGGCAGGTGATTCCCACCACTTCTATTTTACCGATGAGAAAGCTACGGCCAAGACATGAGCACAGGGCAGAGTCAGTTCAGAGCAGGAGACAAGAACCCAGGCAGTGCTGTCATTATGAATTCCTCTGCCACCCTGCCAGCTCCTTCACCCTCTTCTACTATGGTCACCCCATGCCGAGCTGTCACTGGAGCATTCTCACAGCTCTGAAGGCACCTCGTCCCTGGCAATAACCTGACTTCTGCCCCTGCTGGGCTCTCTTTGCTAGAAATAAAAACAAGAGCAGCAAAGATGCATTCTGCCTCACAAAATGGCAACAGGCTCAGACTAGCTGACACACTCTCTGCTCTCTAGCAGAAAATGATCTTCCAAGGGATTTCCACTCATAATACTGTGCCAGGTCATCTCTCAACAGGAGAGGCAGGGAAGGTGTTTCCCTGGGAACAGTAACCATGGCAAAGCTCCTACCAGTGTCTTCGCCTCCCTACCTACGGGAAGGGAAAGGAGAGCAGATGCCTGAGCTCTGCCCCCAGAGCGGGAGCTGCCTGGAAGCACCTGAGCAAAGAGCAGGGAAGGAACTTCAATTAATTCCATTGTGTCTCTTGCTCCAGCAGCAGGCACTGCTGCCGTGCCAGGCTGAGCTCAGACCGCCCCGGTACAGAGTGCAACTGAGACACCAGCACCCGGAGGTCAGTCAAATCCAACCACACATAGGTGGGCACCGAGCCCGAAATCAGCACGGGGAGGTGGCCAACAGAAGCAGAGGTACAATGGGCCGGCTTTGCAGCTTTCAAACCCGGGCATTGTGCACTAGAGCTCTGTTAAAGAGCTGCTCCAAAGCCCAGTTTGTAAGCAGTGCTGCTGGTCCACCTCCTTTCCTGCAGAATATTCTCGATTTACCAGGCTGAATGCCACTCTATTTGCTGAAGATCTAATTAAATCATAATGAACAATTCAACTTGGAAGTACAATCATATTGCATGCTTTGGGGAACCCTTTTGTCATATGTTAGTGAAAATGTTATACGTTTCTGGATTTCAGGTTTGCTAAGTATTTATTCAAGTTAACAGAGCAAATGCAGCCAAAGGGCTCCATGGTTAATCTTCCTCTCACACAACACAGAGAAAAACTGTTCTATGATTCAGCAATCTTGCTATGTGACTAAAGAGTCAACAGCCTGGATTTCAGCTGCCATCACTCCACTTCAGAGTTAACATGCAATTAGCACACACTGCCAGGACACCAGCATCTCAGCAGCAACCCACGGAGAGTAGAGCAGTGCCCTGCAGCCAGACTGACACACGCAGCACAAAAAACTCAAGAGTCTGAGTTTCTGTTATGAAAACAGTGAAATCAGGATCTTTACAGGGAGAAAGATACTGACCTTCTACACCGTAATTTGGGAGCAGAGGGTGAGAGGGTCAGCTGGGTCATGACACCCACTGCCCCATCTCCTCACAGTCACTTCAAAAAGGTACTTTACATGTGCAGCAAATACCTGCTCCAGACACAGACAGAAACCTCAGTGCCCATCCCGAGTGAAAGAAACATTTACTCAGAAGGAGCCTAGCGTTCATTTTAACCTCCTCTAGGTCAAATCACTGCAAACATCCCAGAAATATGCATCCAAGGCAAATGATGCACTCACACCTGCGTTAACATCCAAATCCAGCCAGTTGTCTTTATTTGCCACTGAATCCTCAGAGAAAGCATTAGAAAAAAAACCAACACTCTCTTTTTGCAAATCTCCTAGGAATGCAACGCAGCTGCCACTAAGAGAAGATGCTATTTCTTTTAAAGATGCTGCACGTACCTCTCTTTGCCATGCGCTCCAGTCTAATGCATCCTCCTATAAAATCATGGTAAGACTGCATCTCCCCTTCTGTTATCCGGACGGCCGTGAAGGGTGGGTTCCTGGGCACCTGTTGTCCACATTTCCGACACCGAGAAGCCATCGCCACAGCTCAGGAGGCTCTCGTCAGGAATCTGCTCTCTGTTTGCTGGAATCCAGCCTGATTCTTCAGCCGTCAGTCCAGGCTGGTGACTTTATCCCACTTAGTTCATCCAAGGTCACCCTCGCCAGCAGGATGTTCGCCATTGCAATTGGCTAAGACTTTTATAGGCTTACTGACTGTGTTTGTTTCTCCCTCCTTGTTTTCAATATCAGTTTACTTTATTCTCTCGTTCAGAATGGAAGCTGTGAACCTCAGCACAGCCCATGCCCTGAATGGCTTCCTTATCATTAATTTAAAGCTATCTCATAAGCCACAATGAAGAGAGATCCCAGAGGCACGTTGCAAGATCACAGAACGTCTCTTAAAGAGCATGCCAGTTGTCTTCACAGAAAAGGTTCTCCTTCACGATTGTTGGTCCCTTTAGAGCTTGTGATTTTATGATTCTTCATCACTGAGAATGGATTGTTTTACTTCTGCATTTCAGCTCGGACGGTGCAAGGAGACTGCTCTGCAGAGCTGCTCAACCAATTACTCATATGTCTGGCAGTGGCACCGGGAGGCTGCAGCTGTAGGGAGAAGCCCTCTGCTGCTGTGCAGTCCCTGCTCCCAGGATCTGAGCATCTCAGCCAACAGAGGAGCAAATGGAGGACAGAAGGGAAGTATTGCTGGCAGACACGTCCTGCTGGCTGTGCAACCCCCAACCCTAAATTTTTAAAAAAGAAGTTGGATCCATCGATCTGACCCCAAATTGACAGATCCAAAAGATACATTTAGAAATCTCTCTCCAGAAGGTGCTGCAGATTTAAGTTGACTTTTTTCCCATTTTAACAATTTCTGTAATATGAATCACTGATCAGAGGGCCCTGAGAAGAAACTAGTACCTGGGGAGCTGAGAGCAGAGAGCACACAGCCCTGGGGGGGTGACATTAAAAGGAGCCTTCCCTGGGGTGGGAGGGCTTCTCCCCACCCCTCACACAGGAGATGTGTGAGGGGGCTCAAGGCCAGCCCTGGTGACAGCACACAGAGTGCAGCAGGAACCAGGGCTGAGCTGCAGCCCAGGGCTCAACTGCAGGGACCCGAGCACAGACCCCAAGAGTCTTTGCCTTCCTCTGCCCCAAGCACTAACCCCTCCTGGCACTTGACATACTTGCATCCAGGGCTCATGGCCCTCTCGGATCACAGCTCAGCCCTAGACGTGGAGTGGGAAAGGAGAAGCCTAATTAATACAAATTAGAGAATGGACACAAAGACAGGATAAAGATGCCCAGGAGACAAAAGCCTCAGATGAATGCCATTACTAAAGTGGTGAATATCTAGATGGACAGGCATGAACAGAGGACACAGGAGTCAGCTCAGCCCCAGTTCCTCCTCACTCCACAGCAGCTGCTCCAGCTCCCTCACCCAGCACCCACAGACCCCCGTGCAGTACAACAGCCACCAGACCTGGGAAGCAGAGAGTCTCAGGACCTCTCCTTTGGATGAAAGGAAGCTATAAAGGGGATCTCCACTCTTAGAAGATTCGTGCTCCCTTCCTCCCCAAATTTGCTGCATGGCACAAAGCTGCTCACCCTCTTGCTCTTTGCCAAAACCCTGCCTGCAGAGTGAGGACAATCATGTACTCAGCTGTTGGGTGACCTGATTAATTAGCATTTGTAAAATATTTATTAGAGCTTCCTTAGAGAAATCCCCAGGGGACAGCAATATTTTGCAGATAGGGAAAGCAGGGGCACAAAAAGCAGAATTAATTTGTAGAAAACTGTCATCATGAGATAAGAAAACTAGAAGCATAACCCAGCAGCTTTATCTTGAAGCCTTTCTTCCATCCTCTTCTCTTTCAGTACAGGGGCTCAAGTTGTCCTTCCACACACAGGCAAACATGATGTACCACGGAAAATAAGCTTTTCTGATAAGATGTTCCTGTCTATGTCTGACATATACAGAATAACTGCACTTCAGCCTTGCACACCTATTGTATAGATACACACATCTATTGTATAGATATACAATGGGGGAGAGCCCAGCAGGAGTGACAATACCCTTCAATCTGCCATCATCCCCTGCAGACGCTGTTCCCACCGGTATCCATGTGGCTTAGCAACAGGAGGATCTGTGAGACGCTCTGTTCCAAGGGGGAGACTTGATGCTGGAAGTGGGATGCAAGAAAAAATGTGCCCTAGGCATGAGCTTCTGAAGCACAGGTAGCCACAGCACCCACCAGGGAAACCACCTAAAGTCATCTAAGCCTCAGTCTTTCCCTAGGAAACAGGGATCCGTTACTAAACGGATGTGTGCTAAACACACATCTCTGATGCCTGGGGTACCACTGCCATAGAGAAATGTTTGGGAAAGCTAAGGAAGAGGACATTTTCAGCTCCTGAATTGCCAGCATTGCCTAGCAACATCATCTGGGTTGGTCTGTCAATGAATAAGCAAGTAAATATATGTAAGAAAGTGTCATCAGAAATGAAGAAAAAACAAACACAAATCACCAAAACCCCAAACAAAAACCAACCAAGCACCCAAATATCCTGAGATGCCATTAACCAAAACAGCCCGAGGAACTGCACTAGCTCCTAATTTCATTAGAAATCTCAGTTGACCCTGGAATTGGAGCTTGCTGGAAGGCGCTTGCCGTTATTACTGTATGGCCAGAGGATTGCCACAAGTTTAAAGTCAACTCAGTTAAATCAGTTTAAGCCCCATCTATCTTCTCATGAAAAAAATATGCTTCTGCCCCAAAAAGCAATGCTCCAGTGGTTGGTATCACTGTTAAGCACGAAAGCCACAACAAACACACTGGATCTCAATTATGCTGAGCACAGTAGATGTAATTTCTTGGGAAGAGTTGAGAATTGAGTTTGGGAACAGCATTTCTGTGCCAGAGGATGGAGGCAGAGAGGTCTGCTTCTGCTGCAGGTGGAAAGGAGGCAGCTAGAAAATATTGTAAAACACTCCCCGTTTGGAACTTACTCCACACAGTCATTGAAATAATCAAGGGAAAATAGAAATCCCTTTTCCAACACAGCCTGGTAAGAACCATCAAGAAAGTCTAGTAGATGAGATTCAAAAATTGTCTCTCCCATCCACAAATGGTTTAACAACAACAAAAAACCCACCCCAGTGAGATCAGCAAGAGATGCCTTATTTATTCATGAAGAGCAGCAGCTCCCCGCACGTGTGGGCAGCATTCTACACGGCTGAGAAATCAGTAATCTAAATTCAGTGCTGCTCTCAAGATTGATATACATAGAAGCCTAAGGAAAAAAAATAATAGAAAATCAATATTCTATTCTTGAATCTCCAGTTTCACATTTTCCTATTTTTAATGTGATGTTTTATCTGCCATTTGAACTATTCTTTGCTAGCTAGGCTGAAACACACTATTCCTTTTGCAGATACCTCCATGACCTTCTTTCTGCCTTCCCCACCATCCCCATCATCAATCTGCTAAGCCACAAGGCATTTCAGCAGCTTGACGTGAGGGTTTATTCCCAGAGCACACTTAGTGCCATTACAGGTAACATCCCTTCCACTGCTCAGCTGGGAAGCAGAAACCAGTCTTTTCCATTAACTTCCATTTATTCTCTTCCAACTAATAAAAAGCAGACCAGGATTCCCTCCTCCTTTTTTAATAAAGGGCTACATCCCAGGCATTGTTTTAAGCCCCAAGGAGCTAAAGGAATGAGCAGAGGGAAAAAAAACTCTCTGCTCTTGCAATTACTGGCGGCACCCAGCCCTGCTACAATTCCAGCAGGCAGTGCCTGCACTAGAAGGCACTAATTCCACTGCCATATGGCTTCAGAATCTCATTACACTGATCTCCTTAAAGTGATTTCCTAACTGACAAGTAAGACATTTTTGGTCACCTTCAGCGGTGAGAAACGAGAGCTCTGCCACTGCTGGTGCACATTTCCTCCCACACGAGCTGCCAGAAGCAGGAGTGAGTACAGCACAGATCAGAAAACAACCTCGCAAAGGATTTTGGTTGCCATCTCAAAGCTGCACAGACATCCAGGGCTAATCAAGGGCTGTTGCTTATTTAAAAACAAAACAGCAGCTCCATCACTGCTGGATTAGAGAAGATGCCCAAGAGATCAGGAGATGAGGGGAACCTTCCCAGGCCAAGCAGCGGGGCAGGACTCGGTGCTGCACCTGCAGGTCCATTAATCCCTCTCTCCTGACCGCTGCAGCTACGGGCACATCAGCAGGACCAGAGGCACTTCTGTCCCACCAGGCATCTGCTTGGCAAGACCAACAAACAGATCCCCAAAGTTCCCAATCTGCAATTGGCACAGGGATAAAGAGCAAATAGATCAAGGGTTTAGGCTTGGATGCAAAGTCACTCTGGTCTTGATGAAGATGCCGAAGGACCCAAGTGAGCCGAGAGCCTTTCTGTGCAACACGTACCCATAACACAGCCCTCGGCTTGCAGAGGCAGGGGAATACCATGAAACACAACTAAGTGCAAGAGGAAAAGATGAGAGATACTGGGCAGCCCAGAGAAGGTTGTGACCCGTAACTGGGCACATCAGGCCACCATTCTCTCCCCCACCCCTCAGCACCGGGATCCCCACGGTGCAGGGACTGCAGGAGGTGGGGGCAAGGGGACAGTCTTTGTGTCACTGCCCTCTCACAACAGCACGAGGGCTGGAAAAATACATCTCTGGACATAAAGAAAGGCACGTGTTCTTCTCCTCTCTGTGCTCCTCCAGCGTGAGCCTACCCTACCCCTACGACTCCCTGAAAGGAGGGTGTAGCCAGGGGGGTCGGTCTCTTCTCTCAAGTCACAGGTGATGGGACAAGAGGAAACAGCCTCAAGTTGCACCAGGGGAGGCTCAGATCGGAGATTAGGAAAAATTTTTACACAGAAACGGTTAATGCACATTGGAATGAGCTGCCCAGGAAGGTGGTTGAGGCACCATCCCTGGAGGAATTTAAAAGACGGGTTGACATAGAGCTTAGAGACATGGTTTAGTGATGTGAGTGTGTTTTGGGTTCTTTCATTGGTGTGGGTTGGTTTGTGGGGTTTATTTTGTTGTTGTTTTTTCTTTTTTTTTCTAGAGTTAGGTTGATTGTTGAACTAGATGAACCTAAAGGTCCCTTCCAACCTCAACGATTCTATGATTCCAGCCCTGACTCTCACTAGCACCCAGAGCCCTGCACTATTCCTCCTTCTCCCCCTGCAGCCGAGGGCTGGCAGCACCAAGCCCACCAGGACCCTTCTCCCCCCGGGGAGCAGCCGGGCACCTTCCCTGACAGAAGCAGCGTTTTTCTGGTGTTGCAATTCATAACTTAAAGCAGATAAAGGAGAAGCAGAAACACACAGGGACAGAAATAGGATGTGTAAGAATCACAAGGGCTGTTGATGCTCAGGGCTTTTGGAGACCAGCCAAACACGAGGTGAACAGGAAGGAACAGCTTCTCACATTACACAGTACAGTAAAGGCATTTCTAATGTTTTATTGCCGTCTCTCAAACACTCAACATCAGTTACTACATCAGCTGGGATAC